CACGCCACCTACTCTGTCAGTAGTACATATAAGTTGTGAGGCAGTCGCAAAATAGACTGGTTGTGGTGGATTGTGACCCAGTCAAGTGGGATATTAATAACGAAACACATAAAAATATAAACGTAGACTTTTCATTGACTAAGAGAACATATGAAGACATGACAAAACAATGTTTGACCGAAAGTTATTAAATAGAGAAAAACGCCAATAATATGGCTTATTTACTCTCCAAGCACAGGAAAAGTTTATTGTGGACCTTGATTATTATTCAGTGGTGGAACTAGTTTTGGAAAACAAGATGTTGGTTTAAATGATTGGAAGAACGCATCGATTAGATTAGAAAGCCTCATGTGAACATAAACCCCATGTGTTTTGACCATCTAACGAAGATCTAACATTGTCGGTCGTGTCAATCATGAGCTTGGCGCTCAATTTCTAGAAGATTTGACTTATTTGCGTGAAGTTTTAAAACGAGTGGTTGCGACTGTAAAGTCTTTAGCATCACGTGGTTTACCTTTTAGGGGACACCTATTACTTAAGTTCTACAATATGTGATACATTTATGGAATTGATGAAAAACAAAATTTTAACACAAATAAAAGATGAAATTAAGATATCAAAATATTATTCAATAATAGTGGATTCAACACCGGATATTTCCCACATTGACCAATTAACTTTCGTGATCCGATATATTCAAGCCAATGGTATGCCCGTTGAACGTTTTCTTAAGTTTATCGCAAATGTTGGTCACAAATAATACCTATAATATAAATAATAATAATAATAATATTAATTTATTTGTTGTAAAGAAACATATTACATTTCATTTTAATAGTATACAGAAAAATATACATATATACTCACATATCTTCGAGATGGCCCTGTACTCTACGTTATCAACTCACCGCATCAACATGGATTTATTTTACCCAATATGTTTCCAAAGCACTTGACCAAATTCATTAACTCAGTTCTTTGCTTCTTATCTCACTAATAAAACTCATTGCCATTTATTTGTAAATCTGGAGTCCCACAAGGCTCAAATTTAGGCCCTCTGATTTTTCTCATTTTTATTAATGATATTTTTCACAACCTTGATTGTGAAAAACTTATGTTCGCAGATGACTTAAAAATATTTCTTAGAGTGGATGGTGCTGAGAGCTTTAGTATAATTCAAAATAATTTAAACAAAATTAACCAATGGTGCCATGCCAATAAGTTGTATATGAATGCCTCTAAGTGTAAAGTTGTGTCATATTACAAAGGCCATAATCTGTTAACATTTAATTATATGTATAATAACTCTTTACTAAAACGTTCTGATACTGTCAAAGATCTGGGTGTTTTCTTTGATCACAAATGAACTTTTTATAGGCATATAAGTAATATAACTAGTTCTTTCTTAAAAATGTTGGGATTTATTGTAAGGAATTCTAACACAATAATATAAACGCATTAAAAAAATTGCATTATTCGTTTGTTCGTTCAAGGATCGAATATTGCAGCTTGATTTGATACCCAATTTACACAACCTACAAAGTTTCATAGAAAAATATTCAAAGACGATTCCTGAAATTTTTAAACTTTAGAATTAATGTTTTTTATCCTATCAGAGGTCATCCTCAGGCTGAATTACTTCAGGCCTTTTTAATGGACTCACTTGAATTGCGAGAGTTAAGTTTAGCATAAAATTTGGGTATGACTTGTTTCATAATAATATCGACTGTATGTTGTTATTATCTATGTTTAATCTGTACATAGAAAAAACGCTTTGATATAGTCAATAACAATGCTATAATTGATTGTGTTTCATTTTTCCAATAAAAGTTAAAGTTTATTCAATCAAATATGTTTGGAGCAATTGAGGGCAAGGGATTGATGTTATTACAAATATTATATTCAGCCCATAAGAAAATATAATCAAGTTAAAATTACTTGATAATATTTTCATTGATTTATATTAAAAGTTATAATGCTTCAACCAAAAATTAAAAACAAATGAAATAAGAGTCTGTTTCTTTTAATGTTTATTATTTTTATTCCAATGGAAACTAAAGTAAGTTATTACTGTCTTACAGTGAATACCAATGTTTTCACTGTCTTGAAAAATATTTGTTATTTGCCCAATTATCATTCCCATTTTTTTAATGCCGCCTAAATTCAATTTGATGATTGCTAAAATTCATAAAAATGCGCCAGGGCATCCCCTGCCACACCACACATGGGCAACCTGCAATCGCTTTCGTGCCTATAGTTAAATGTGATCAATTGATTAATCGGTATTTCTGGTGACGCCGATTGCTGTAAGTGTATGGGTTATCTCTGAATGGGATAGTGTTTGGTTGTTTGTTATATTTGCTAATTTCTTGGGGGTTGTACTTCCTAATCCCCAATTTTCAAGGTAAGTTTATCTGGATATTTGGTGTCATGCCTTAAAGTTTTTATTAATTTAAAAAAAACTTCTCATAGTCTGTTAGTACCATCGTGATATCCTTGCAGGGCGTCCTGAAAGTATATATTACTTTAGGACTTTCAGCAATCTTTAGGATTCGCCTCTAAATACATAAGATGAAATTCATATTTCGTTTTAGAACAACCATGTGCCATGACAGACAGATCCTGCACATCCAGTACAGTAACTGTTGCTAGTGATGGGTCAGAAACTTTCTTAGAGCCTAATATCACCAACACTTCTAGTGGGTTCCTAATAATTCCCAACAATTTCATTTTATGGATGGAAAAACCTGTGTACACAAGACTACTAGAATTCATTTTATTTAAAGTTTATATTAATGTATTAAACAACTAATATTTGCACAAGAATATACATATTTAAAGGAAATAGAGCTTTGATTGCATTTAATGTAGCCATTCATAAGAAACCATAACTTTATTTATGCCAATGTTAGTTTTTTATTAAGATTCATTGTGGCTTCAATTAAATAACAACTTGATTTAATAATTTCTTATGTTTTAACCAACTAAGTTTTAATATGGATATAATAGAATCACAATTTAATTCAATGACTTCTTATGTTTAAACTAATTTTAAGCATTTTGATCATAGCTGTAATTCAGGTATTGCAAATACCCATTCACAATATATTTAACAAAACCATTATTTTTCGCCCAATATTTAACCATTAGTTTATTGTTAAACATTCGCGTGCGTTTTTACTGAAGCGTTTTTACTTTAACGTTTTTATATGAAACCTACTGGTAAACCAATATAGCCGCGTCATTTTATTCCATTTGCTTGAGAAAGGAGCTTCTGGCTTTTAAGTGAATTTACATTATAATAAACTTGTTAATTGTGCTGTGCCTGCTCATTTTATATAGGTAAGTCGTTTGTCTAAGTTTTCATAATATTATAAAAACATAATTTGTAATTTTTAGTAATATTTTTATTTACTGTCTTCAATATTTGTAGTAACTTAACTAATTTTATATTAATACTCGGCATAGCACTAATTTATCTCTCATTTTATATAGCAATAAATAATCTGTCTCCCTCATCCGGACTTTCACTACCCTAAAGAACCTCCCTGACTATTTCCCTCGTCTTAATTTCCACCAATCACAAACGCGCAATTTTGAATTACAAATGGTTTCTAGGTGACTATTCCACTCATTACTTTTTGGACCATACAGATTTTAGAAAACGAGTGGTTTTTTCAGTTTTGCAGCGATAAAACTACTATTCAGGTGAAAAAACCACTCGTTTATACGAGTTGCAAAGCAACCAATTGGTTGCTATGATAAAAATAATTGTCGCTGTTGACGTTTTTAATTTTAAAATTAAAATGTTAAAAAATATGCGTTTTGGTCCAAAAAATCATACAGAAATTGAATCAGCAGTTAAAAATATTCGTGAAATAGTCTTGCCGAATACCACTCGTGATAAAATTTTCCCTGAAAAAATTTTTGATTTTTTTTTACTCAAGATTTTTCCTTGGAAATTTCGCTCGTGGCATTAACTTCAAACCACTCGCCTAGCGGCTCGTGGTCTTAAAAATTAATGCCACTTGCGAAATTTCCAAGAAAAAAACATTCGTATAAAAATCAAAAATTTTATCGGTAAAATTTTACCACTAGTGGTATTATATACGAAAAAACTGTGTGACAGCACCTGTCAGCAGTTTATTCAAGTTTACCCGCAGCAAAACTTGACAGCTGTTGTCACCAAAAATTGCAATTTATATTTTAATTGTTAACTGTTGCTCATGAAATAGTCTTGTCAAATACCATTCAGGCATCTAATTTTTCCTGTGAAAAAAATCGAAAAAACACAATGCTAAGTAATATTTTTTAACAAAATGCATTCGTGCAGGTGCAAAAATCCTCCTCTTCGACTCGGATTTTTGTTGCCACCAGCACTCATGCTTTTTGTTAAAATATTACTTAGCAACGTGTTTTTTCGATTCTTTTCGGAAAAATTACATGCCCTTATGATATTACTTACGAGAATTTCTCTGTGAGAAATTAAACGTTTCACCACATATAAAAGCTTTTTCTCTGTGTATATTCCCCTTTTAAACTCTAGAACTAAATTAACTTTTAGGGTAGATAATGCCCGTACTAATGTTTTGTTGAAATCTCCAGTCTAAGTTATGATAAAAAATATAAATGAAATATCAAAAATTGACATTAATAGTTCTTCACTAACTTTATTATTAAAGGAAGCTTTTACAAAAGTATCATTAATGTGTATAACTTTGTCTTTTAATTGGATGTAAATCTGTTGGGCAATATAGTATTATTATTCTATTTATATTTTAAATAAAATATTGCAAAAAACGAGTTTTTGATTAGTGAGTTTGGCAAATAACGACCTTATACATTATGTTGGCTAATGTTGGTGAATTAATTGCTAAACTACACACATAACATAAAAACTATGGGTAGGTAATTATAAGTTTATTATTATTTTACAGTCGCGACTAGTCGATATAACAAGTAGGTATTTATTTAACATTTAACATTTGCAGGCCAATTACAGATGTTATTTTTGGTGTCAAACATTAAACCGGCTGGGCATATGTGTTTGAATTTTTCGAAACCAGCCTTGGTTTTCATGCACCAATAGAAAATGCTGCAATTTTCTAGATCTCTTATGTAACCAACTTGCTTGCATTCTAAAGAGGATGAAGATTCATCTTTGTCTGAATCTTTTTTGTGTGAATCAGATTCTGAGTCTGATTCTTTTTCTGACTCAGGTTTAGTTGGAGTAGGTTCAGGTTTTTTGTCTGTATCTGATGGTTGGTTATCGTTCCTTTCTTTATCAGAACCCTAAAAAATGTTTTAAATTTAAAAATGTGTTAAATATTAAAATATCTAACAACTTACTTCAAGGGCGGTTTTAATTGCATTTAAGATAGGATATTTTTTTCCGCAGATTCCTTTAAAATCGTCGGTTTCTATTGACCAAATCATAACACCACCAAGTTTAAGATTTTTGGAGTAGTTAACCTTGATGGCAATAGATTTAGGATTATCGTAACCGATCCATTGGTCGCCTTTAAAAGCATAAGGAACTTTCTGTTCGTTGTCCCATACTTCAGTCCAACCACCCTGTTTTTCAAGCTCACAAATCTAGAAAAAATAAATAAAGGATAAATTAAATAATTATATTTAAAACTAGACAAATGGGTATTTTTAAGGTAATAAAATGTACATTCATGGCTTTTAAAGAAAAGAAATAATTACAAATAATATTAGGTAGAATATTATTATTATTATTGCTTTTATATTTACTAAGTTACACCATACATTTAAGCGTAATTTAGGGATTAAAACAACGAATTGATTAATTATCTTACTTCATTGTATCCGAGCATACCACGCTCTTGAGTGTATGGTCCTTGTTTACCAGTGGATACAATGGGTGCTCCTAATCCTGTATTAGAAGTTGAGGTAAGTGTGAATGTTCTTCCATAAACTCCCATACCTAGTACCAATTTTTCAGGTGCTGCTCCACGTTGGATCCAACCACGAATGCAAGCGTCCTACCAAATATAAATGTTTAAAATTTGTTTTAAAAATATTTTTTTATACATACCACATTAAGTTGTTTTTGTGCTGAGGAAACATCTTTGGATGAAGCATATAATGGGGCGTTTTGACCGGTAACTCCATCCCATGAACCATGTAAATCGTAGGTCATAACATTAATTAAGTCTAAGTATCTAAAAAGTGTATTTATTAAATATTTATATTATAATAATTTATTTTAGCAATAAGTTTCCTCCAAACTTTTATATAAAGTGTACTTTAAAATGATAAAATAATAAATTTAATTTTATGCCATTTGTGTTTTGATATGATTCATTTTGGGCATATGAGCACCCGGGCGCAGTGGCTGGTGAATGGGCCGAAAACAAGCTCTTGATTCTTATTTTCGACACAAAATTTTATTTAGCGATGTGGTTAAATGGCTAGATAAACAAATAAAATTAGTATAAACAATCCAGAAGTACCTAATCATTAAGACGGAGCGCCGTTACGTCCACAAAAAAATCTAGTAAATCTGGATTTTCGAAAAATTTGACATAATTTGACCCAAATATTGTACTTACTTTGATAAAGCTGGTACATCGTAGGATATGTCAACTGAAGAACCACTAGCTGCAACAGCAGCGGTCAAAATAAGACCCTCTTTGTCCCAGACAGCACGAAATTCCTTAAGCAATTGTACATAGTTTGCCTATAAAATAAAAAACAAATAAATATTTTTAATTTTTAATAACAAAAAATATTAGGTACTTTGTCTGCAGCTACACCTCCTCTTTGAGCTGGATATTCCCAATCCAAATCAAATCCATCAAAACCGTATTTCTTAACTAAAGCAAGCGCGCTTTTAATAAAGTTTGCTCTTAAGTTTGGCGAAGCGACAACAGCGGAATATTTAACGGAACCTTCACTCCATCCACCTATGGCAACCAAAGTTTTTAATTTAGGGTTCACTTTTTTCAAAGCAGTTGTTTTTGCAAGATTTCCTTGTCCTTCTTCAAGCCCTGTGTCCAAGATTTTTATGCTACCATCGGTGTTAATACCAACGAAAGAGTAAATTAAATGGGTGCAAAGGTTGGCGTCAATGTCATTTGTAGTGAATTTACCGTTGCCGGGTCTGTAGGTGGACCAACTTCCATAGTAACAGACTACTTTATCTGAAAATAATTTAAGGAAAATGTAAATAAAGATTACAAGATTACAAGCTTGCCGGTAACTTATACAATTGTTTTTATGTATTATATTTTTATCCATGAGTATATGTACAAAAATAATCAAAGAATTAATATAATATTTTAAAGTTCGACTTAACTACGGTTTCGCAATGATCGAACGGTCGATTTGCAAGGGTTCAAGAAATCGATTGAAACTGATTTACTTTATTTTTACATCTAAATGCAGTGCTTTTAAAAAAAATATCTCGTCCATTGACATCTTTGTTTTTTTTTTCACTGTGTTAAAAATGAAGAAATTTCATTTTTTTAATAACTTTTTTATTTCAAAACGTATCGATTAGAAATTTGGACAAAATGTAGATCTTACTAATAACAATTAATCCATGAAAAAAATTTTGTTTAGATTTTAACGTACAGGGCGCGCTGGTGATAATTTGATTTAAAATTTAACAATTTTTAAAGGGTAAATAATCGAAGAAGCAACTTTGTTTTATAAATTTGAGTATAACACGTTAAGGTATTAATATTTGACTATTATTTAATATATTAACATTTTTATGCAAATTATGTTTGTGTGGCCAGGATCAGTTTTGAATTAGCAGTAGCAGTATTCATAAATGTTTAGTTTAGTAAGTTTTGTCATTTTTTATACAAGTATTGTTGTATCTTTTATTAATAATTATAGCATAACTAATAAATGACGTTTAATATACAGGGTGTTTTACGAACTTAGTTCGTTAGAAGTTTCTAGGTAATCGATTTAAAATTTTAATAGCGTAAATTATTCGGGTTTTCCTTTTTTCCTAAATTATTTTGAACAAAATAATACTTTCTGGTTACCGGAAATGTCTTTAACTTTAATATTTTAAACAGGACACCTCATTTATTGTTACATTTTTGAATTCTATATAAAATTCTAAGTAAAATGGCTATACCATATCCTATACCTAGAGTCAATATTTTTCGAGTTATTAATTTTTCAATCAAATATTTTAATTAATTTTAAACAATGACAGATTAAGTGGTAACCATGGATACTGTGTCATTAACCCACATGTAGAATTTCACAGGTTTGTTGATACAAAATTTTATTGAAAATATTAAAAATTGTTTAATGTCTCTGAAATTTTAACTTTAACAGTTATTATAATACCAATCGAAAGATTATTTAATTTTCTATTTGATTATGTTAAAACATACAGGGTTTTACATTTATAATAAAAACGTTATTAATTTTTGAAGTTTGACTAATTTCAAGTGGTTTTTCTCAAGTTATTTGTTAAAAAAACTATAAAAAATTAACAACAAAATTAGAGGCTATTTTTGATTAACGTATATTTAGCAATTTAGCAAAATTTTAACGTATAGGTACCTATAGTCTAAATCAAATTGTATAAGCTATTAAAATTTCAAATCCATATCGTTTGCGTTTCTCCAGAAACATCCTGTATAGCATTATATTAAATATAAAAAAATGCAAAATAACTAAATACAAAAAAGCGAAAACCAACTGATTAAAAATATACATATATCTAAATACCTGATCGCAACATAAAAAATAAAGTCTTTATTCTAATTTATTTATTGGGTAAATATTACTTTCCTCAGTTTGGAATTAAAATTGCTTATCGAGTAAAAAATAAATTGAAGCGTGGTTGTGAAGCAAAAAATAAAATAAAATAAATAAATAAATAAATAAAATTATAAATTGAAATGCAATCAGTCATTTGCCACTTATAAACTAAACTGTCAAATTATCTTTTATACTTTTATCTTTTATACTTCCAATGGTAGGTTACCATTGATTTAGCAAACTTGAAATTTTTTTAAATTTAAAAATAAAAGTAATTTTACCTCCATCTATGGCGATTTTTTAAAATAAATATGTAAGAATTGTATGTTATATATAATATATTATATTTAATATATTATATTTAATATATAATGTATAATATGTAATTTATAAAACATTATCTTATAAAACTAGAAAAAAGAATATATACTTTGTAAAACACGTTAGTATTCTGCCCTTTGAAGGCCCAACTTAAAAATTCTCTCATAGAAACATAATTTGCATGTAGAAGTTTATATATAAAATAATAGTTAATTTTCAGTACTTTAACGTGATATATTTAAAATTATAAAACAACCTTGCTTCTTCGACTTTTTAACCCTTAAAAAATGATACATATTTAAATTAAATTGTTCCCAGCGTCCCCTGTATATTAAAATCTAAAAAAAAATAATACGTGGATTTATTGCCATTAATATGGTTTACATTTTATTTTAATTTTTAAATAAAAATGTTATTACAAAATATCGAAATTTATCTTCTTTTAACACAGTAGAGTGACTTAAGGCCTGAAAACCACAGCGGTCAATGGATGAAATTTAAAAATGCACCATTTAGATGTAGAAACAAGGTTAAAAAAATATATTAAAATCTGGCATCACTTGCAAACAAATGTTCAAAATTTGTTCGATTTTTACGCGAAACCATAGTTAATCAACTATATCAAAAATCCTTTGAAAATTTTAATAAATATCAGATTGGTTAAATTTTTAATAATATTTTAACTAACCTGTTTTTGCGGAGATATGTCCAAAAGAAATGGCAAGGGACAAAAGAACCAAAAACTTACAATACATTATCGAAACGTAAATCTACAGTTCTTTAAAATATAGTTATATATCCTTCTGTAAGGACTATATCGCCCAGACTGATTAAACTTAATAAAAATTTTGCGTTATATTTGCAAAAATAATCTTTTTATTACACAAAAAGCCTCACAATTTAAATATTTAATTCCAATTAATCATATGGTTTAACAATTGTTTTATAAATTAACGTACATCAGTTACTATGAAATAAGCGTTAGATTACTATTTTAACAAAAACTTGGTTGACAATAATAAATAATTAATTTTTATTTATTGTTATCTTGCTTCATACCACACATATTTTTATTGTTTTTGTAACGTTTCCTTAATTCCTTTTAAAAAGTTTACAATTTATAATAGATAATATAAATAATATTAACATATTAATGTTACGATTTACTAAAAATAATAATAATATTCTGTATTTGTTTAAAAATACCAGAAGATGTAAAACACGTCAAATGTATAATTTCTAATCTAATAAAGTTATGCAATAAATAACATAGTTTTGATTTATCATAGCCGCATTCGGTATTGTCAAAGTCCGCTAAACGCATTGCGTAATTATTAAGTTATTTATATTAAGGTATATTAATTTTAAAGACAATTCAGCAACATAAAATGTTTTTATAAACTCAGTCTGTATACTTTTACTGTTTAAAAACGGCATACAAAATATTTAGGGTATAACAGGCTAATATAGATTGCAGTGCCACCTGCATTGCGTAAACTGTACTTGTGATATCGATTTTCAGCAAAACAGAATTTTCCTAAAATTTATATTAATAATATAGAAATCTCTAGTTGCATTTCATAGTAGGTGCCTTATTAATATGTTTTTCATTTATTCAAACTTGTAAATAATTAGAGTTAGATTTTTAATTTAACTATTCAAAAACAAAAAGGTATACCTTTTCAAAAACATATATGTTTTTGGATAATAGGAGAATAATTCGATAAAATAAAACTATTTATCCACGACTACCTTATAATATATACTTTATAAATGAGTTTTCTAAAGCAAAATGATAGTCATATTTCACAGAGTGAATAATAGCAGTGAATAATCATTATTCACTGGTCTAGAGTTTCTATAGGACACACGATATAGATTGTATCTGGCAAGCACTTATAAGTTCGTCTAGGCAATTATAGCCAGGCACTTTAATTATCTAACTTTATACCAATCATAAAAGTCTTGTTAAAGTATTACTTTAATATGTTTTTTTAATGCAATTGAATAAAAATTTAACATTAAGTAGACTATTTCAAGTAAGTAAGCCATTGACATGACATGACAAGCTTAGCATAAATTGCTGACAATTTGAAACGTCATAACTTCGATTCAGCACACGATTTTTGTTACAAATTATTATTAATCTTAAATTATACATAAAAAATCAAAGCGTGAAAGATGAAGAGATGTTACGCACTCAACAAAACATCACAGAAGTCACTTTTCGAAATAAGAATTACCTAAAAAATCACATTCATTGGAAATAAAATACTGCATAATCTATAAATAATAGAATTATCAAGTAGTTAGTAAGCCATGTAATCAACTGACAACTAATAATTATTTGAAACGTCAAATTTTAACGACGCGGTGGTGCAATAATAATTCCTGTTAAAATTATAATTTGCTTTCAAAAATACGTTAACAATGGAAATTGATAGTGAAGAAGATATATTGTGTACTCCACCGGAGATAACAGAAGCTGCAAAAGTCACTTCCCTGAATTTGTTGCCTGAGAAATCCCAAAATTTGTACGTATCTGTGTACAACACCTTTATGGACTGGAGAGCGACCAAGAAAATTAATTCATTCTCAAAGTCTGTTTTACTGGTATATTTTATATATATATTACAATTAATATAAATAAATAGTTTTAAAAATAGTCACAGGCATCTTTAATTTTTGGTTTTGTTAATGTCAAATAGGTTATAATAAATATAAATTTTTTTGCATTAAAATCCGTTAAAAGTCAATAGTCGTGGACAAAGCATAGTATTCTACTCAGATATAATGAGCTATTATTCACTCAGGTTAATTATGCCACTCGCTACGCTCGTGACATAAACTTAACCTTCGTGAATAATAGCCCTCATTATATGCTCGTATAATAATATACTATTAATATTTTGTTATTACCACACTCCTGTAGGATGTTTATAAAAATTTGCGACTTTACTTTTTATAGAAAAGGATATCTATAGAAAGAATCAGAGGCATTCTCCGCAGCACACTGGTTGCAATGGAAATGCTGTGATCTGATTGGTTTATTGCTTTCCAAAGAGATCCGTTTTTAAAGAAAGTAAGG